CTTATTACTAAGTCTTTTCCTTTTTGCATTAGTTATGCATGAATTCATTGGACATATCCAAGATAAAATACCATGATATATGTTATTTGCCGATGATATAGTCTATATTGCAAAAACTTGTGATACTTTTAATGCGAAATTAGAATTATGAAGGAATATATTAGAGTTCAAGGTTTAAATTGAGTAGATCTAAAACTGAATATATAGAATGCAAATTTAGTAATCACAATAAAGTGGGTACAATGTAATTATGTTGGATAATGAGGGAATACCGAACAATAACGAATTTTGATATTTGTGATCAATTATTCAAAGTGATACTGAGATAAAAGTAGATGTCAAATATAAGATTCAAGCAGGATAGACAAGGTATCAAAATACGTCAGATGTGTTGTGTGATCACAATATGTATTTAAAATTAAAAGCAAATTTGTATAAGTTAAAATTGTGAAATCTAATTTCGAAGTTCAAACGAAATCACAATGTAACATACAATTATGTGATACTTGAAATTTAAATATAGAATTTTAAACTAAATTGTTAGCATTATTATAAAGGCAGAGGATTAATTGAATTGTAGCAGAATTCTGCCAGATAAAATTAAAATACAACTATAAAAAAAAAAAAAATGGTACAGCAGGCAAGGCCCTTTAATCGGCCCAATTTGATCTCGATTATCCAGGTCCAGCCAGTTCCCCGGGCGGGAAAATTTTAAAACTTGAATCTGGAAAAGGCCGCTAACCGAGGTTAAAAGGTTAGTTAGTGAAAGTCCAATCAGATTCGGCCACATATTCGGCCACATCAACATTTGGGCCGTCCTGCGCTAATCTTAACCACAATTATCTCTCGCTCTACAACAATAAATATCCTCATACATTCCCTGTTTCAGATCCACCAGATTTGTCATCTCAGAAGGTGTCTTGATAAACGCCTTCATTTTATTAATTTTCACGTTTTCTGTGCATCGATTTCAAAACTTCCATAGGCGAAAATGAGAGAGTGCATTTCAATCCACATTGGTCAGGCCGGTATCCAGGTCGGAAATGCCTGCTGGGAGCTTTACTGCCTCGAGCACGGAATCCAGGTATTTCTATCTCTTCCTTCCAGATTTTTTGTTCGTCACCTTTCATTTTCATTCAGATCCGCATTTCAGGCTTCTCCATGTAAACGTATATAGCTTCATTCCATTCAGATCTTCGTTTTAACTTTCAATCTTATAATCTGTCTGTTTTGATCTGTTTTTGTATGATCTGATTAGATTCGTTGCATTTCCCATTAGATCTGAGATTTTATAGGTCTCCACTGTTCATGTTTGTTTTTCGCTTCTGTTAGGCGCTGTATTCCATCAGATTTGGTTAATCATTGTTTGAATCTTTTAAATACCGGTGTTTTTGCTTCAGATCTGGAGTAATTTTCTGTTTTTAGTTTTGAAAAGGTAAAGTAGTTTGAGTGTTATTTCATTTCTAGATGCATGCGAAAGCTTTATTCATATGTTGCTATTTAGCTTTGAATTTAAGGTTTGGTCAATGGATAATGAGCAGTTGTGTTTCTGTTAACAGCCTGATGGCCAGATGCCAAGTGACAAGACTGTCGGAGGAGGTGATGATGCCTTTAACACCTTTTTCAGTGAAACTGGTGCTGGGAAGCACGTCCCTCGTGCAGTCTTCGTGGATCTTGAGCCCACTGTTATTGATGAAGTGAGGACTGGTACTTACCGCCAGCTCTTCCACCCAGAGCAACTCATCAGCGGCAAGGAAGACGCTGCCAACAACTTTGCCCGTGGCCACTACACCAGTAAATGCTTTTAACCTTATTCCATCATCTTATTTGCCTATGATTTGTTTATTTGTTTCATTGGAACTAATAATTTGTTATTTTCTTGTTTCAGTTGGCAAGGAGATTGTTGACCTGTGCTTGGACCGTATCAGGAAGCTTGCTGATAACTGCACCGGTCTTCAAGGGTTCCTTGTTTTCAATGCTGTTGGTGGAGGCACTGGATCTGGTCTTGGTTCTCTTCTTTTGGAGCGTTTGTCTGTTGATTATGGCAAGAAATCCAAGTTGGGTTTCACTGTCTACCCATCTCCCCAGGTCTCCACTTCTGTTGTTGAGCCCTACAACAGTGTTCTCTCAACTCATTCCCTTTTGGAGCACACTGATGTGGCTGTTCTCCTTGACAATGAGGCTATCTATGACATTTGCAGGCGCTCTCTTGACATTGAGCGACCCACCTACACCAATCTTAATCGCCTTGTTTCTCAGGTATAGAAAAATTCTAGCCTGTTTCTGTGTTTGTATGTTCTTTTTGTTAGTGGCTTTTCCTAATTTTTCCCTTGTGATTCAGGTGATTTCCTCCTTGACTGCCTCACTGAGGTTTGACGGTGCCTTGAATGTGGATGTAACTGAATTCCAGACCAACTTGGTTCCCTACCCAAGAATCCACTTCATGCTTTCCTCATATGCGCCAGTCATCTCTGCTGAGAAGGCCTACCATGAGCAGCTCTCAGTTGCTGAAATCACCAACAGTGCCTTTGAGCCCTCATCGATGATGGCCAAGTGTGATCCTCGCCATGGCAAGTACATGGCTTGCTGTTTGATGTACCGTGGTGATGTTGTGCCTAAGGATGTCAATGCTGCAGTAGCTACCATCAAGACCAAGCGCACCATTCAGTTTGTTGATTGGTGTCCAACAGGATTCAAGTGCGGTATTAACTACCAGCCACCCACAGTTGTTCCTGGAGGTGACCTTGCAAAGGTCCAGAGGGCTGTTTGCATGATTTCCAACTCCACCAGTGTTGCTGAGGTGTTCTCTCGCATCGACCACAAGTTTGATCTTATGTATGCCAAGCGTGCCTTTGTGCACTGGTATGTGGGTGAGGGTATGGAAGAAGGAGAATTCTCTGAGGCTCGTGAAGATCTTGCTGCACTGGAAAAGGATTATGAAGAAGTTGGTGCTGAGTCAGCTGAGGGTGATGAGGAGGGTGAAGAAGAGTACTAAGTATTTGTGATTGGGGGCTTGTATTTTGTGAGCCAGTGATTTGTTATCTATTATCATGTTGTTGCTTCTGTATTTTGCCAGCTTCGATTCTTTGAGTTTAGTTGACTAGACATGGTATTTCTATTCTCTGCTATTATGTCTAGTCTGTTGTGTTTGTGTTGAAACTTGATATGTTTCCCCTTTTTCAGCCAGCGTGGCATATTGATTTGGTTGTGCTTTCTTGGTCTCTTACTATTCATGTCTGTGTTTAAAATGTTAGAACTTTGAATCGTAGGAGACTTCTGAAGGCCCAACAAATTTCATGGATTCATTTGCTTACCTCGCTCCCTAGTTTGATGCCTATATGACAGGCGAAGCACCAAGGCCGTCATATAGCCTAACATGCCGTAGGCGGATCAACCAAATAGGCCATTCAACCCTAAACCCAAAGTCTAATAATATTTGCTCATTTGTTGGCAAGAGCCGCGTTGCCGTCCAGGTTTCTGAAGGAGGTGGGGACGCAAGAACAATAAACAATAAGCGGTTGCCGTAGAACTTAATGTCGTATAGATGTTGATTAAGATAACAAAATAGGAAATGCAACTTTCACAACAATATTTAACTTTCAAAATTCCCATTATATAGACTTTGTTTTGATCAAGCACATTTTTTTTATGATAATTACATCGGTTTTTTTTTTTTGTTTGGAAATAATATGGATTATGTGGTGTAGTGTTAAAAATCCATTTTTCAATATATAAAAACTAGAATTATCTGAGCTTTGATATATATTTGGGCAATTTTGGATGCTTTTATTTTCCAATTTATTGGTCATAATTCCAGATGCCAAAGAAAGGCAGACACCACATAAATTTCTTTAAAAAATATTTATTTTTTATTATATTTTCGATTAAATGCTTAATTTAAAATTAAATATTTAAATAATTATTTAATTCAAAATTAAATATTTTAATTTATATAAATAAAAATTAAACGTCATCCGTTTTCAATTAAAAATATATTTAAATAAAAGTTTGTGCAGACACATAATTTAAAATTGTGTCATTTAATTATATATTAATAATGACTTATTCCTAAAAACAAAAAAAAATAAATAAATAATCAGTTTTATAAGAACACAACAACTTTTCTTTTTTTTCTTTCTTTCCAAACTTTTTTTTTGTCTTAACTTCAGAATTTTTTCCCATCAACTCTTGTTTTTCTATGAAATGTCCCATTGTTTTGTTCTTGCATAGGGTTATCTATTTTTTTTATTCAAATTTTTTCTATTCAACTGCTCTCTCTTACATGAAATCCAAGCCTCTGCTGCCCGGTTTACGAACTCAGAGCCTCCTAAGACCCGTTCAGAGCAATCCGCCTTTGGGCTTCAAACGGAATCCCCATCACTCTTGATTTAAAGACCAAACAGCACAATTGGACAGTGAGTTCCTATGGATGAATTGTTTCTGGATCTTTTGACAATGGATTTGGGTAATTATGATTCGGATTATGGGATATTCCTTGGATTTAATGATTTTTCAAGGGGTTTATGATCCTTGAGCTCTATAATTGGGATGATGCTAGATCATTGGTTTCAGTTTTATGCTCTTTTCATACATGTTTTAATTCAAAATTAATAGACAAATAAAAATTTATGTGGTTTAGTTGTGAGTTTTTAAATTTCTAGAGTATCATAGTATGGATTCGTGATTTTTTTTATAAATTAATATTGGCTAATTGATAGTTAATGATTGTGGAAAAAATTTCAGAATTTTGAATTTTTATTTTCTTACTTTCTATTTTTGAACTATATTTAAAATAATAAAAAAAAATGAAATGATTCTTTTTCTAAAAAATAAATCTCAATTTCATAATTATTTTTAATTTTTTTAAAAATAAATTTAACCACCGAAAAAGTAACAAATTTAATTGATATTTTTATTAGAGTTAACGATGCATGTGAAATACGCACAAAATTTTATTTATATACATTTTTAATTTTAGATATTCAATAATATTTAATTTTTAATTATATAATTTAAAACATTTATTCCAAAATTAAACAATCACCCAAATTAAACAAATTAAGAGTTTAGCCTATATTTCCTATCAACCGATGCTACGTAAATTTCCTAAGAAAATATCCTCTTAACCTTTTATTTGTCTTATAAAAGGAGGATGGAGAGGCAGACATTAGGAAACAGAGGTGAAAGGCTTAAAGTGACGGAGATCCTTAACAATTCCTTGAATGGAACCAGTAGCTGCAAGAAGTGATACAATCAAGCAGAGCACGACCAAGACGTTTAGCCATATCCATTTCCAACTATATGGTTGAATCTTTTCTCTTGCTATGTGCATCTGTATTGGGAAATACACGGTCAATGGCCAGAATGTAACAGCACCAAGTAGACCAAGAATGTCGTTGAAGAATGGGATTATCATCGCCACAACGGCAGTCATTATCACATAAGCTGTTCTCCATACAAGCCTGAAGGCACTGAAATGGTAAACCCCACACAAAGGAAGGTTAATTGGGCGCCCTTGCTTTATGAAACTGTTGTTTGGCCACCGTTTAAAGCACCAGTTTTCCACACGCTCGAATAGTGGTTGGCAGAATACCTGTCCACAATCAAAAGCATCATGAATATATGGTGTTTCTTCAGTGTTCTACTCCAGAGGACTCAAGTTAATTCATGGGGTTTACCTGGTAAGCTCCCACAAGATGAACAATAATGCACACATTAGCTAGGTCAATAAGCCAGTAGGGGTTGTAAAAACCAAATCCTGTTAGGAAGTTGCCCGGTGCATCGTTCCCAAATGCTGCATATCCCAAAACTCCACACGAGATGTAGAACAGGGTGGTGATTGAGACCCCAATAGAGGCAGCCTTCTTCATGGCTTCGTTTTCTGGTGGACTTGATTTGACTGTGTCCTAAAAATCCATGAATATGTCAGTACAAGAAATCTTACAATATTTCTTTTCTTGGAAAGAAAGATTACTTCTTATCAGTTATCGCATAAAAAATTGCTCTAAATCTAGAAATCAAGAGACTTGCCTGTATCTCAACCAGGACAGCAGAAAAAGCATAAGAGAAGGCAATGTCTCCGAGGGCTTCGAAGGAATTCCAAATCTTCTGTGCCCTTGTCACATCCACTCCCACGGTTGTCCCTGTTAGTCTTGTCCTAGCATGAGTCCCTTCTGCAAGACAGAAAGAGTTACTACATATCAGTGAATTCAAAACATTTTCTTCACCTGCAACTTTGGCTATGATTCAAAAAACCAAGGGCAGGAGCTTGATGTTAATTACGGTGACAAAAATTTGTCGCATTGTTCTTTCACCTGCAACTCTGGCTATGGAGAGACCGAGGCCTATGATGGAGTATGCAAAGGACATAGCTGCAGCAACCACGGAGAGCCCTGATAGCTCGTGAAAGTTGGGAATTTGGCTTATTATGATCTCTATGATGCCAAAGATGATCATATACTTGTTGTTTTTGACATGACAGCCTGCATCATGCCCGTTCTTGTGAAAGCAACCTGATCTTTTTATTGCCCTGGTTAAGGCACACAAATCAGGAGGCTATATTTCATAAAAAATCATCTTTGGCATATAAATCAAAATCAAAAGCCTAAAAAACAGATATATATATATATATATATATATATATATAGAAAGCTTACGCCATACTAATGGCTGACGTGATTGAATATCCAATTGATGTTCCTACAAGATTCACATATTGAGCTATTCCACAAAACTTGTTATTGAATCCTCCTGTTAGAAAAACATAAATTATTAGTTTTGTGATTCCATGTGCTAGCATTAATAAATTGAACCCACACAGAAGCAAAAATGACTAAAAAAAGGCAAACAAATTCATCAACAGATTTTCTAGTCACCTAAATTAGATTGTACAGCATCCATGTAACAGCTATATCTTCTACCCGAGACAGGGTCCCTGCCACAATCAGCTAGCAGAGTAGATGTGTACCAAGTGACGACAGAGAAGACTAACAAGGAACCGACACCAGCAATCCAGCCTAACTGAGCAACGGCCCACGAAAGAGATAAAACTCCTGAACCAATAACTGCTGTTATGATATGTGCACTAGCAGTCACCCACGTTCCTGCAAAAACCAATATCATTTGTCCATCATTGATTCAACCATTCCAAAATGAAAAGAAGGATTTAAAACCGAGTAGAATATAGCATACCTTTTCTTTTTGAGCTATCATCACCATCATGAGGAGCAGCGGTAGACTTACCAGTTTCCAATTCCATACTACCTAAGGTTAAGGTACTCATCCTTCCTTGTAACTCTCGAGTCATTTCTCTCGCTTTCTTTCTCTCTAAAATATACTATTAGATTATGTTTTGTGTGGGAGATTCAATTTGAAGATGGCTTGGTCCAGGTTAAGGCCAAATTCCTTAGGTACTCGTAATCTTTTTCCCTCCTGCTAGTCTGTTATGATCTTGAAGAAGATTTTTTTGAAGAAATGTCATGTGATTTGCGTGTTGGATTCTTAGTTCCTAATGAGAAGATTAGTCGCAACCTTACATATAAAAATTGGAAACTCACTTTATTTGGCAACTTCTAAATGTGACCGCTATTAATTAGTCATCACTTACGAAGAAAATTATGTAAAAAAGGTAAGTTTACTGTAATTAGATATACAAGCATATGCTCTACTAAAGCTTTCTTTTTATGAGAAATAGGTGATCATCTTTTTCCAAATCTGGGTAAATTATCATTGACTATATGATAGCCTTCGGCTGTAGGGTTTCATGCAACTTCTTTTCTTTTGGTTTCCGTACTATGGATAGAGATGAAAAGGTTGCATTATAAGCGGAAAGTCCAAGCATTTTTCTTTGACTCACCGCACGAAAGAAATAAGACATGAAAAGAAATTTTTAAAAAAATTTTTTTTTTCTATTTGCTAGTCAACACTCAAAAGGAAGAATCGCAAAAAAAGAAATTTCTTTTCAATTTTTTATTTCACTCTATTATTTCCTATTTGCTTTTTATTTCAAATAGTTCTTATTTTGGCAATTACTCGGTGAGGATTCCTGGATGATGTTGGTAGACTTACCATAAATGGGGTGTTGTGTTAGATTTTGTTTTTTTCCAGTCAATATTTTTTTAATTGAAGACTAAAAACAATCATTTACAACCATTACTTGTTGCCAAAATTCCAATTTTAGCCCATTGGAAATAAATATTTTTTTGCATCACCTTCTTGTCCCCAATTAATCGGCTCATCAGATGTGCTTGAAGACCCTCCATGGCGGTCTGTCATCGTTCTTCCTCCATTGGACTCCATTCTAGAAACTTATGATCTGGTCCTATGCATGCACAATACCATTTTTTAAAAACGAAAATACATTTGTATATTATTGAATCAAATATTGAAAAAAACACATTGTCATAAAATTCATATTATTAACCTTCTAGGTATATTTCTCCCGGTTCTAAAGTTCTAGTAACTGTCAATATCTCAGTCGAGGTTGAGAGCCTTCATGGTTTACTACTACTAACTGTATATAATACATTATAACAGTTGCCAAGCCGTGTGGATTGGGGAAATACTAAGTAAAGGAAAGCTTAAGGTCAGTGTATAGCAGTCATTGTTCTAGCCTGTATGTAGAGGTAGCTGTCAAGTTTGTACATCTTAAAGATAGGGAAAGGAATGTTACTTGGCTGCCTTTAACACCCAGGAATTTTTTTTTTTCCTAGGTAGATGTCTAACGGCCATTGAGGTTTTGTTGTTTTTAAAAATAGCCCATTGAAATGGAATGAGGTAACATCGACGGCAGTGGCAATAGTAAAATAGAAAAATAAAAAATCTAAACGGTGATGGATTGCTGAGGGAAGGTTCTCCCTTCCAATTTCCCACCACAATATAATAATATTAACAAATATAAAAGTCCATAACCATCTACATTTGAAGCCAATTTGGCAAGGAATTGGATCTTAAAAACAGTGTATGAAAGACACTGAGCTTTCAATTGGAGCGACAAGTTCCTGCTGATGTAGGATTTACAAAGAATGAATTACAGAAACCTGTGATTTAAGTCTAGGAAATTTTCTTGTATGTGGAACACTCGTTGTACTTCAATTTACACCGGGGGTCGATTTCGATTGAGAAATCCTTTCATCTTCCAGAAGTGCATAAGGGTCGCTGTATTGCGGTGGTGAAATGGGAGTCTTAATTGCATCATGAATGAAAGATGGTCCAAAATACTGCTCAAGGAAAAAATTATCAGTATATAGCCTTTATAACAAATAAAGAGAATCTGCAGTCAACATCATGTGAAAGACTATTTTAAATCCGTCTAGTGGAAATCCATAAAAGACCAGTAATTCATGTAGTCACCCTTAATAAGTGTTATCCTAATATATATGGAGTTCAAATCTCAACATGGCAACACCTGCGATCCCTTTTCCCTATCCTCAAGATAGTGCTTTTTTTATAAAAAAATTCCACAAAATAGTCTAGGAAACATCAAAATAGTATACTCAAAATTTCAACCTTAGACTGAAATAATTCTAGATACAATATGAAACATAGAATAAATAATCCAATTTCTTTTCCTTTTTAAGGATGGAATTTTCCTTTAAGCTTATTGGAGCCTCTACAATAGTTTTAATGATAGCAGAGCACATGATAACAGGTAACAGGAAGGTTTTTTGTAAGTTGACTTCCTAAAGTCAAAATTTAAGAGTGAAAGAAAGGGAGCTTACAAGGTAGAAAGCAGAAAAGAATGCTATGGTTGAAAGGATCAAGGGCTAGAACCCGAGGAAGAACGTTCCTCCAATTGTTAGCAACAGTTTAGCCCGCAGAACTAGCCCCTGAACAATAAAAATGTAAGTCATTTCTTGGCAATTAAATGCACGTAAACATGCACATTGCTAAATCAGAAGAGAAATAAGCTCAACCACACTGAAATAAATGAACCACCAATATAAATAAATAAACACATAAAAAGTTTAAGGTTAGAAACAGCAACAAAAACAAATATAAAAAAGCTCTTGATCACAGAACATTTAGTTGTAACTTATATGTGAAGAATGCATGGATCAATAACAAAGTTGAACACAAAAAAACCAAGTTCATTGCAGCAGAAAGTACTAATAGAGAGAGGATTTCTTGTTGTTGGTTCCATGACAATCTCCAAAGGAAGATGAAGAAATTTTGTTTCTTTTTCTAAATGTTTAATAACAAAACCGAAAATGTAAGTGAACCCTGAGGTAAAGCTGCTTCTCGTTTTCCTTCAAAATTTAATCAAGGAAACAAGTTTGGATCTAGCTCAGTAAGATTATGAAACTACCTTTACAATTCATACTGTGAATAATTGTGTTAAAGTACAATTATCCATAACTAGCAGATGCAGTCATGTTTCATTAGCAAGATGAGCCATATTATTGCTGCACATGAAAGGAAAGGGCTTGAATTCAACAAAAGCAATTTTGTTATCAGTTCACACAAGGAACAGCATGCAAAATCATTGAGTAAAATCCATGAACCTCAAGGCCTTCACTATTCAATTCCATGGAGCGCTCCCTTTGATTAGATAAGCTTTTCTCAAACTCAGTTGAGACAGTATTCCTTTTCGAGAAAACTTTCATCTCCTCATCCAATCCACAATAGATTTTTTTGGTGTCCTCCAGCAATGAAGTGGGTGTCATCCCCCACTCCTTCACAAACAGTGACTCAGGAGGTTCTTCACCTACTCAAAAAAGAACAGAAGACACCCAATTTATTGGCCCCCAAAGAAATTAAAGCATCCAATTAAGCAAATTTTCAAGCAAAACTAACAATCCAAATCAATAACTAATCTCTTAGCCCATTTTCTGATCCAAAATAATTAGCAAAGTCGAAAATGTTTCATCCTTGCAATGCATTCTTCATTAATTTCTCAAAGCTTTTCAATTTCTTTTTAACTTGGGTTAGTTTCAGATTTTTTGAAATCAAGGTAGGAAAAAAGAAAGAATTAAAATGAGTAGCAACTTTAGAAATTAAAGAACATACCATTGCTTTTGTTGTCACCTTCTTGAGTTGCACACTAAATTCTTGATCTTTGGCTATGAAAAGACCTGAAGCTTCTACATCTATTAAAGTTGAGAAGTTTCTTCCTAAAATCAGATTTTCCAGGAAAATTTAACTGGAAAATGGAAATGGAGGAGAAAACAGGGTACAAAATCTGCAGAGAAGCCATTTTATTTTGCCTTTATTTCTCAGCATTAAATTTTAAAATAATTAAAGAGAAAGGGAATTTCCAAATTTACAAGAAATTATAATTTAAATAAAATTTTACAGCTTTTCTGGGTTGAGTTAAAGAATGGGAAAGGATTTTGTCTCTTTAGTGGTGGTTTTTTGTAACTTACGCTGTGGACATAACTGAGAAGAAAGAAGCAGCAAGCAGTGACGAGAGGCGGTAGGGTGGTTTTTTGGTAGCGTAACCGAGGGAGCGTAAATTAGAAAAGGAGAGCTTTCACTTGTTAACGTGCGCGGGAGATGTAAAGACCTGTGTGATGGGACCCACTTTTCTTTTACAATGTATAAAATATTAAATTATGAATAAAATTTTCATCTATAAAACATAAATTATATTATATAATATTATATATTTGTTTTTCATTCATACGATTCATGCAAAGATTTTGATTTGTGTAGAAAGAGAGAGCTAGTATACTGGAAGAACATGGTGGCATTCCTCTTGCTCATGATTTGGGAATGTAAATGAGCGTACCTCGCTAAGTATTCATCAAAAAGTTTCCAAGAGAATCTACTGGCATCTCGTGGAAACGACACAGAGCAAACTGGCTTCCTGGAAATTGCTTCATCTTTCGTTGGCTTTTATGGCAGTCGTCACTCCTCATCCATCATTACATCTAAATATTCTCCTGCAATCCGCTTAACTCCCTATATCCATCTGCTAGGAACTGAACAATATGCTTATTAGAGCATTCTTATGAAAAAAACCCCATTTGGTAATTTCAAGTTTTTATGTAAAAGATTAGGTTGTCATCCTAAGAATATTTTTAGGTCGTGAATTTTTAAATTAAAAAAAAAAACTTAAAAAAAAAAATAATATTGAAGGAAAATATATGATTTATAATTTTTATTGATTTAAAAAATGTAAAATTTTGGAAATTTTATTTAGACTTTCATTTTTACTCTATACATCCTATTATTAAATATACTCGAAATTCAAATTTAAATTTTTTATTTTTATTAAATACATCACTTCCCTCAACAATTGATTTTCTCTTCATACCTTCAAAATTTTTTCTTCTTTCTCTCTTTTTTTCTCTTTAATCTCAAACCTAAATTAACTTTAAATCTATCAAATTAGTCTCAAAATTACAATTTTTTTTAAGTCTTCCATTGATTAAAATAAGATTTCAATATTAATTTCATTTTATTTGGTTTAAATGCATGCAAAGATATATTAGGATTTACAAAACAAATTTTACAAAATTCGAGTTTCTCAAAGATTTCTAATAAACCTTTAAGGTTCTAGAAAATGCATTTTTGAAAAA